ACCTTACAACTTTTATCGTGTGGTTAGGTAATAATAGGATTTCGTACCTTTTGTTTCAATTGATTTAATATCATCAAGACTAACCCTCAAGGTTTCTGTCGCTTGAACTATGAGAACAAAAAAAAAAGTTTTTATGAAAACGTTTCCCAAAAGGAATACAAAAATTAAATATATATACCATGAATCCTCTTTCCCAGATTGTTAAGAAATTTTTTAATTCTAAGAACATTTTCTGTATTCGCTATGAAATCCTGTTGTTTGAAGCGATTATTTTTAAGATTGATAATGGTTTCAATCATAAACTTCAATCGTGATCTATTTAAAACACAAAAAGATTAAATGAATCTGTCATTAATCTAAAAGGGATAACTTTTATAATAATCGAGTTACCCTAGCGTTCTTGGATTTTTTTTGCTGGTTTCAGCTTGAACCTGATGAATTATTTCTTTCAAGGCAGTTGGATCATCTTGTCTAAGCTGGTATCCAGAACCTATATTACAATCATGCGCATTAGCATACAGTATGTCTTTCAATTATCTCGAAGATCTATAACTTACTTCTGACTATTTTTAATAGTAATTCGACGTTAAGTTCATTCAAATCAGTAATAAATATTCTAATTAAATCATATACCAAAACACATGATATGACTTGAAAAAATTATAAAGTTCCGAGATTAGAACGATTAAATTTGTGCACTCTTTTCCACCTTCTCCTTCAAGATTTTTTACATCATCAGATGTGCTACTGTATTGTTTATGGTATCTCTCGAACTCTTCTATCATCTCTTGAACAAAATGAGCACCTATTTCATTAGAATAAAAAAAAAATAATAAGTTAATTTGCGAAGATAAAGAGCTTACTTTCAAACATTTACTTACAAAAATCGATACCAATTATCTTGTAAAATGCTGCTACCAGTGTATAATTACAAATTGATCTAATATTGTGGACCTTGAAGTAATTAAATTTAAGACAAGGGATGTAATAGAAGAAGTCACATCTAGTAAACAATATATATATAGTTGAATTAATGAATTTTAACTCAAAATTTTAATTAATTTATAAATATTATTTACCGTGTCGGGTAAATCTTTGATACAACTCCTCAATATTAATGATTATGCTCTCAATGTTTGACTCGCTCAACCTGTAATCACAAATCATTAAATTGTAACAAACACAACATAAATAAACTTCTGATTTAAAAAATAGCGTAATGATACCTGTTTAATAGGCCTTGTAATTGTCGTTGCAACCGTATGTGATGTTCTTTCTTTGCTTCATCACTTTCCGATGTGAAAGTTTTACGTTGCAAATGTGGAGGAATATATTTACCTAATAAAAAAAACTATTATAAACACGAAAGTAAAGTATAAAGATTGCAAGCATATACTAACCTTTGGCTTCATTCGCTTCAGGTTTTTCGTAAATATTACTCTCAGGTTCCATTTCTACATCACTCTCTTCTTCCATCATATCGGAGTTTTCATCATCACTTTCATGCTCCGATTCATCAAAATCATCGTCGTTATAATGTGAAGTATCAATTTCCTATTAATTTGAACAAGCTATCATTTATGCTTTTTAGGATGAAGAAATAAATTAAACGAAATTTTACTTCATTCTCCTCTGATATAAATTTAGATTTTTTCAAATTTTTCGAACCAATTTCGAACCCTTGCAATAACTCTATTCAAAAACACAAATTTAAATATACAATCACCCATTGAAAAAATAAACTTACATAATGATATGTAATCCCATACCGTCTAATCCATCTTCTTCAAAAGCTTTTGTTAATTTTCCTCCAGATTTTATTCCCAATTTTTTTTCTAATCGTTTAATTTCCTTGTCATCGACACTTTTAGATTCGGTTAAAGTGTTTTTGTTTGAGACAACAAGGTTTGAATCTTCAAGTAGTGAATAAAAATTTGGGTTTGTTGTAGATAGCTTTTCTAATTTCTGTGAATAATTAATTTTTTTGTGCTTTTTGATTTTTTGTTTGAAACATTTGTGTCAGAGATAATCTTTGTTGTAGAAGTTTGCGGTTGATTAGTTTTCTGACGTTTCGCAGGCGACTGAACGTTTATTCCAAGTTGAATTCGTTGAGTCTAATTTAAAGAGACTAATTAAAATTAATAATAATATAAAAAGAAAAATAATAATAAAACTCGTCGAATTACTTTAAAGTACCTTTTTCTTTTTCTTATCTATTCGTCCTTGCCTTCTTTGTTCTTTTCTTGATTGTGCGCGATTAATGAACCGTTTTTCGAACTTCCTATCATCATCTACAATTATTAATAAAATGAAGGGTAATATTTAATGCTAATTTTTAACCAATCAAATTTTCTCGATAAAAAATTTTTTATGATCGTCAAGATGAGACCGCAAATAATAATGATAGTGGATTTATCTAACATAAATGTATTAAATATCTTTTTTACGAGAAACAAAAACATTCACTTGGCTTACAACAATCTTTTCGTTTGCAAATTACAATTTCCATAACTCAATGATACTTTTTATAATCAATCTTTTGTTCGTCTATCTAATACCTTATCCGAAGTTTTCTAACTCAGAAGACACTTTGTTGCATTGTCTCCAACATAAATGACGATCCTATTACATAATTTATTGGGTTCGATAGATACGATAATCGTATTTAATACTGCAAGTTCAAGATTTATTTTTTTTAATGTAGAGAAATTCTTTGCTAAATATGTGTATTGTATTTATTTTTTATCAATTAGAAATAAGATAAAAATATACGGCGAGAAAATGTTCTGTAATAAATATTGAATTAATTGATCTAATAAATTCTAATTGTCCGAAGCGAAGCGGATGACATTTACAATAGATGTTAGGCACGTGATTAGTGTAACCTGCAAAATTACAAATCGGTGTATAAAATTCTACAAAAACCTTCAATATATTTATTATATTAAATTAAACATTCGATGCTGTTAAATTAAATTCATTATTTATTGAGTTTTTACGTTCAGAACAGAATTCTATTACATAACAAATAAATCTCCATTAAAATGTAACACTATACTAAATTAAATGTAAATGTAACACTATACTAAAATAAAAATGTACAGTTCGAAAAAATTGGCACGTGACAGCGTGACGCTCGCTTCGGACGCACAACGGTCCCCCGTTACCTACCTAGTAATAATTGCCAGTATGTTATGCAATGTAAAAACTCTCTATTTTTTTACTAGATGTTTGTTCAGTCAACGCTTATACATTCAATCCCTTTCGTGCTTGAAGTTCCAGAGACAGATTAAAATCCACCATCTGCCACCGTGGAATACCAGTAGGAAAACCCATAAAAGTTCTGGAGCGGGTCAGCCATATTGCAAGGACACTTAACACCATTTATAGTGCGTCCCATTTCAGAGTATAACAATATATAATTCAGTTTGTTGTGCAGGATTTGCCATCCCAATAGTTCTGACATCAACTGAATCAGAGGATTTGGTGTAAAGGTATTATTCCCACAAAGCTCAAATATTTTAATGGTTCGCACGATCTGAAATGATGTTTTTGAGGAAAGTAGGGTGCTACTTTTGATGCAATCAGGAAGACTTTGCGAGTAACCAATTTAAATTATCATCATTGAAATATGCCAATCCATTGCCAAAAAAAGGTGGATTGTTAAGGACGCCTTTCTGATCGGACCCAAGAGTCAGGTTCTTTTACACTGCTTTGCCCTACAACCATATTTGTATCATCCAAGTCCTCTTGGTGATTCCAACTGCCCATTACTATTTGATGCCACTTGCATGGTGCGTGAAAGGTCTTCGTATGAAAGAATGATAATTAGTGTTATTTGATGTGGCTCAAATTACAGTAGTAATTTGAGCCGGTGACCTTCGGTCGCCAGGAATTAATATTTTTTATCTTTTTTTAGTAATGAAAAGTTATTGAAATAATTTTATTCACCACGTATTACAATAAATAAATATATAATGGCACGTGAAAGTTCGAGTACCATTTTTTGTAAGTAATATATTACCGACATTATTAAAAAAAAACTTTCAAATCACTGTATATTTACTATATGAGAATAGTCAATATGATACATAATGTTTTGTTCTAAAAGATTCCAAAATGTTCGTTCATTGGAGTACGAAACCTCATGTTTTGCTTACTGATATGGTAATTTTCATGCTTTTAATTGTTAAATTAAAACTTTCAAATCACTGTACATTTACTATATGAGAATAGTCAATATGACACAATGTTTTTTTCTAAAAGATTTAATCTTCCCAAATGTTCAAGGTGTTTACTTACTTATTATGGTAATTATCAAGATTCTAATTGTTAAAAGTATTTCAAAAAATGGGGAAGATGCAGATTCTAAATTATTCCAAAAATTTCGATTCTTTCACGCGATTTTGATATGTCGATTGTTTCACGCGATTTGCATATATAATCAGTACACTCCACTTGAAACGTTTTCCTACCTCTCGCTCAAATAAAATTTTTCCCACACTATATTATTATTCATAGACGCACGTAATAGTTCTTTTATTTTTTACATAATTTTTCAACTCTAAATCTATTAAGAGAAAACCTCAACTCCAAACGAAATGAAACGAAAGAGCGAAACGGAAAGCGAAACCTGAAACGAAAGCAAAACCAAGGTCTCTTTCACGTCAAGGTCCATAATAGGTTGCGGTTAGAAATATCAAAAAAGGAGCAAATAGAAAGCGGTATTTATTGGGGGAAAGGTACTTATTGCGCACGACGACGAACGAAAACAAAAATGACGAAAGCGAAACAGAAAACGAAAACGAAACGGAAAGCGAAACTGAAGCAAAAGCGAAAATAAAGGACTCTTTCACGTTATGGTCCGTACTTATTGGAGGGAAAGGTACTTATTGCGCTCAATGTTACTTGGTATCGAGTAATCAAGTTTTAATGATACTCTGTACATTGTGAGTGGAAATCACTCACGCGTTGGCCC